ACTGTGATACTAGCACTCAAGAGACTGAAGCAAAAGAATTGATCCAAGTTCGAGACCAACCTGGGGTATATAGTAAGTTCAAAACCAGCCTGAACTCGAGTAAGAACCTGTCTCAAAAAACCAAAACTAAATAGTTAAGAAACTTTAAAAAACAAATCTCAGGTAGAAGTGAGGTGAACTATCACAGGTTTGATTTGTTAAGATATAGGAGAACACTATAAGACTTATGGTGTTGTGGCGCATGCCTGTAATCCCAGCACTTGGGAGGCTGAAAACAGGAGGATCACTTTGAGTCCAGTCTGTGTAGCGAGTCCCTGTAGACCCTGTACTAAATACATTTAAAAAAAAAAAAGATTTATGGTTCCAGGGAGATAGCTCAGTGGGAAAATGCCTGCCTGGCAAGTGTAAAAGTCCTGAGTTTGATTCTTGGTACCAATAAATGAATGAATGAATGAATGAATGAATGAATGAATGAATGAATGAATGAACGAACGAACGCATGCATGCATGCCACATTTATTTTTTACAAATACTTGTTTCAGATGAGATAGGTGTGTGTGTGAAGTGTTGCTTTCTGTGTTGCCCCCTTTTACTGACCTAGAAATGAAGAGAAACAATTCTGTTTTAGAATTAGAAGCTGAAGTATACCATTTTTTTTTCAACTGAAACTTCAGTGCCTAATTAGCTATTCATGCAACAAAAATTATGTCTTAAAATATGTTAGAAAATAATAACGTGCTAAAACTTTGGTCTCTTCTGTCCTTTTTTATTTTCAGAAAACCAGTGGGCAGGAAAAATGATACTCCTGTATACACAGTCCCTGTTACTTGCCTGTTCATTTCTTGCTCAATAATTGTTTTAAGCATTAATAATTTTTTGAAATTATCCAAACAGATCATTATAAACCTGCTATCTCCCATCGAGACTTAAACAGCAGAAATGTCCTGGTGAAAAATGATGGAACCTGTGTTATCAGTGACTTCGGGTTATCCATGAGGCTGACAGGAAATAGACTGGTGCGGCCAGGGGAAGAAGACAATGCAGCCATCAGTGAGGTGCTTATGCTCCATTTCATCTGTCTGTTTTATATACCACTGTCATTCTAACTCACTTTGACAGACATTAGGAAGAAGTATCCAGCAATTGATTTTTGAAAGAAGTAAAGTTACCAAATTATAAATCAGAGTCCCCCAACTGATAATGACCCTTCAAATTCAAATATAACTTCCTGACCTTTTTCTCTTGTGTTCACATATAAATTTTACGAACTGTAAGAATATTTAATGGTGTACATATTTTTTGCAAGTTTTGTACTTACTGTGTCTTGCAATTTTTTAAAAAAATGTATTTAGTACAGGTTTTATAGACTCTCACTACACAGATTGGACTTGTAGTGATCCTTTCTGTTTTTCAGTCTCCCAAGTGCTGGGATTATAGGCATGCCCCACCAGGTCCAGTCTCAATTGCTGTCATAGCATGCCACAGGGGACAGGACTGGCACTGCAGGCCCAAGTTCGAATCCCCGGCTCCTGTGTCTGCCTAAACAAGTGCTTTAATCTGCTGAGCTATCTGGCCAGCCCACAATTTTTTTTATATGTAGAAATACCTGGTACTATTCTATTTCTGAAACATACCACTCTTAATTTGTCAGGTTGGTACAATTAGGTACATGGCACCAGAAGTGCTGGAGGGAGCTGTGAACCTGAGGGACTGTGAGTCTGCTTTGAAGCAAGTGGACATGTATGCACTTGGACTGATCTACTGGGAAATATTTATGAGATGCACAGACCTCTTCCCAGGTAAGAGCCACTGGCAAAGGCTAGGATTTATTTTGAAGTGAAAAAGCTATATTGTCTGTCTCACTTATATTAAATAACTCAATTTTTATGCAAGAATCTTTTTTACTTAAACCCGTTAGATCATTGCTGTCTAGTGTTTAGAAACATTATCAGTAGAAGACAAGGTTGGGTATTTTTTAAAGTACTCCTCATTTTTATCTGAGTACAGTTTAATTAATAGCCAGTTATAGCTTTCCTAGCTGTACTTAATTTGTTCTCTGATTGTCTCGACAGTCATCATTTTCCTAATGTCCTGTTTGAGCATCTGAAACAAGCTCCATTTATATTTTCTGACTTGATCCTGTAGTGACTTAAAAGCAGCACATTGCTTGCAAACGCACCTCCTTTTCCTTTTTCCTTTATCCTTCCTCTCTTAGCCTCCTTCCCACCCGCACTCCCCTTCTTTCTTTTTCCATCAGTCCCTTTCTCTTTCACTGCTCCTTCTCCTTCCTATTCCCTTTCTCTTCTTCCTTTCATTTAAAGTGGTGTTCATTTAATGTGCATGCTTGAGGCTTACTGGAAATAATCAAATGGATTTGTAATTTTTATTCCCTTGTTAGGATTATATCACCATTACCAGCATATACAAACTTGAACAACCAATCTGTGCATTGCATTCTCATAGATAATACAAAAAATTGAGGTATGTGGTCTCTTGTCTCATAGGAATAGCACCATCAAAAGCATAGAAAAGGGAACTAGTGTTGAACATATTTATGAAATAGACCTACTTAATAAAACAGATTAATAGGGTTTTTTTGGAGTTTTTTGGTATTACTGACTGAACTTGAGACCTTGTGCTAGCCAGGCAGGTGGTTATGCCACTGAGCTATATTCCTATCCTAGGTTGAGTTATTTTTGCTTAAAAGCCATTAATCATTAAGTGTTTATAGTTCTTAATGAATTAAGAAACATAATGAATTAATGATTATTTAGTTGAACTACAGGTCCTTCGATTATTATTTAGAAGTATATTTCCGAGTTAATTATAAGCAGAGCAGAGGCTCAAGCCATTTTTCCCTTTAAAATTTATTTTTTTGGTGCCTCCATGTAACCATGTGTGTTTTCTTTTTTAATTTTTATCAGTATATGTTTGCAGTATATGGTGATCATATTCTATCAGGAGAGATGGTATGTGACATAAGACATCTTAGTTCTTTTTGCTTTTCTTTCACTTTCCTTCCTCCCCATCTCTTAGTCCCCTTCCCATCTTCAAAAGAACTGTCTCTATTTTCTGTTCTCTTTGTTTGGATGTCATTTTACATTTTTTAAAAAAATTTTGTTTTATGTATTTAATAGAGGGTCTCATTACACAGATTAGACTCATAGTGATCCTCCTGTTTTCAGCCTCCCAAGTGTTAGGATTACAGGTTTGTGCCAGCATGCCCAGTCTTAATTGCTATCTCAAGTGTTCCCCATGGGTGGGGCTGGCAGCTGGCATGGGACACTGAGGGATCAAAGCCCCAGCCCCTGTGCCTGCCTAAGCAGGCGCTTTACTCTGCTGAACTATCTGGTTGGCCCTTAAATTTTAATAAAATAGATACTTTCATATTACATACAGTAAGCCCATCCACTCATTGTTGATTAAATTTTTAGACGTAATTTCTGTAGGGGTCGGGGAGATAGCTCAGTAGTCTAAGGGCCTGCCTGTCAAGTGCAAGGACTTCAGTTCAATCCCTGGTGTCACATGCCATGCTAGCCCCACACCAAGCTGGCCACCAAAACTGGACATGATGGTGCATGCCTGTTATCCCAGTGCTGGGGAGGCTGAGACAGGAGGCTCACTACAAGACTGAGCTGTGTAATGAGACCCTATATCAAATAAATAAATAGATTTTATTTAAAAAGATATCTATATACCACAATGCAAGATTAGTATCTTCATATATTTACTTGCAGAGAAATGGATATTTATATGAAAAGATGAAACGCCTCTTCACTCCACTCCCCATTCTCATTCCCACCCTTTTCCACTCTTCACAGGCCACCATCAGAAGTTTGGTCTGTATCTTCCAGTTGATTTCAAAAACATTTACATATGTATCCATTAGCAATATAAAGTATTGAACTTCATCAGGGAAAAGTTTATAAATCAAATTTACAAAGTTATTGTACTATATGCATCATTCTCCAACTTTATTCCCTCTCAAAATATTTTAGATATTTCCATGAACATGTGGCTTTCATCTGTTGTGTTTTTATAGCTGTGTAGTATGCCACCCTAAGAACTCTCCATTTTTGTTCTAGATGGATATTTGAATTGTTTCTAATATCTAAGTAGTAAAATAAAGCCCACACAGAAACTCCTAGCTAGTATTTCCTGAATGTACACATAAATAAAACTAATGTATGTTTTTGAATTTGTTAACCAGGAATGCTTTCCTGCTGTCGAGGTCATAACCACTTTCAGTATACTGGCTTTTAATAATTCTGTTTGTATTCCTGTGAGTTTTATAGTAGTCCATGATACATTCTCTACTCTTGGGGAACAAATTACCTCCAAATAATTTTTTAAAAATTATTGGGCCGGGGAGATGGCTCAGTAGAATAAGCGCTTCCCTGGCAAGCACAAGGGCCTGAGTTCAATCCCCGGTTCCGCCAAAACAATTTTTTTTTTTTTTTTTTTTTTTTTT